AGGTCATCTTGGATGGAGCAAACCATCTTTCCATTTTCCCCAGAGTCTAGATCTGAAACCCTGAAAACAGCCACCACAGTCTCAGGAGAATTCTCTGGGATGGGACTGGTAAGTGAAGATATAGTCAGTTCTGGAGGATTGTCATTCAGATCTATCAACTGGACGACAACGGTACATTCTGCTGAAAGACCTCCACCATCTGTGGCCTGAATATTTATAATGTAAGATTGAGTTGACTCAAAATCCACTTTTCCCCTTAAGTAAAGTTCTCCCAATTTCTCTTTAAGGTGAAACGTTTTACGAATGTTCTCAGAGGGATATAAAAATGTGTAAGATATTTCTCCGTAATTCCCTGCGTCTAAATCTGTGGCCGAGACTATGACAACCTTGGATCCAATGGAAATGTTCTCCGGTATCTGAACCTCATACTGGGACTGAGTGAACACTGGAGCGTTGTCATTGATATCCATTACAACAACTCGGACTTGGGCAGTTCCAGACCTTGGTGGGACTCCCCCATCCACTGCAGTGAGAGTTAAAGTGACCTCAGACTGCTCCTCCCGATCCAATGGTTCATCCAATACGAGCTCGGGGTATCTCTTGCCCTCACTGCTGTCTCGAATTTGAATATCAAAAAAGGAGTTGGGACTGATTGCATAGTTCTGGAGACTGTTATTTCCTACATCTAAATCTCTAGCGTTTTCTAGCAGAAACATCGTTCCAGGGGAGGTGCTCTCGGGGATTTTTAGAAGCATCTCCCTTTCTGTGAACACTGGTGAATGATCATTAATGTCATGTACCCGTAATTCAGCCCGAACAATCTGAAAGGGCTTTTCCAGTAAGATCTGAAAAGGCAGCACACAGGGTTCGGCGGGGCCGCACAGCTCCTCCCGATCCAGTTTCTCTCTCAGGAGCAGATCCCCAGTTCTATGGTTCAGCTGTAAATAATCTTTGTTCCCTTTGAAAACGACTCTGGCCCCCCGGTTTGACAGCTCCCCCACCTCCAGGCCCAAGGCCTTTGCCACATTGGCCACAAAGGAGCCTCTCTCCATCTCCTCCACTACTGAAAACTGCTGCGGCTCTGAGGCCGCCCCAGACACACCCAGCAGAACAAGGAGAAAGAGAACTTGCCTTTGTTGCGGAATCATTGCTCCTTCTCGTTCCATTCTTCCTTTCACCCCCTCTTCTCGGCCTGTGTAGCCCAGCTCGATTGCAAACGGTAACCAGAGCCTACAAATTTTGTCCGTCTAACTGGTGTCTCAGAAATATGAGGGCTTCAGACCCTTCCTCTGGTTCTAGCTAAGAAAGCTTCTCTTCCCCTTCTTGACTGATTCAGGACTCTCTTTCTGAGAACTGCCGTATCTGCTGATCTTTTTTGCATCTTCTTAGCCTGCAGCGCCACCACGTGGCTCATCATCATTTCGGAATCAAGACTCAGAACATGGAAAGTTTGTTTCATATCAGATGCCATATGTTGAATTCCTCTATGTATTTCAAAGGATTTCTGGCTTGTTATTTACAAGAGAATCTATATGAAGGCTGCAACCACTAAGAAATGACATTATGTCTTGGTTTAGGATACTTTGTCCAACACCTCATACATGTAAGTATAAATTAAAGGTCAGCACTGTGAAAGGATGCAGCCATTAGGGCATTTTGAGGCAATATTTAAGCTGAGAAAAAGCCACACCTTCATCTAGTAGGCCCATTGAGGATGGTTTTTAGAGAACCTGAGGCAGAACAAGAATAAATTGCAAGCTTGGGTTGCAAAGGGAAACAAAGGGAATTATTTTCAGCTATTAATGTTCTTCTCCTCCTGAAGTCCAAGAGTCTGTAATACACACCAAACAGTAGCAGTTTATAAAGGCTCTGCTTAATTGGATTGGAGGAATGAATCAGTGATTTGAGGGCTCCTTGCCAGCAACTATAAGATACTATCCATTACTCTCCACCCACACAAATAATGTATGTACATTCCTAGAAATCCACTCACTGGGACCCGAATTCAGGAAATTATATCTCATCTGTGTTTTTCCAGAAGGGAGATCCATTTTTATGATTCTGGGCAGAAAGAAAGAATGGGGAGATGATCTACTTATTGTCTACTTATTATTGTTACTTAACTACAGTTAACTACTACTTATAATCTAATTATTATTATTATTCAACTACAGTTAACTACTCCTTATTATCTAATTATTATTACTTGACTACAGTTAAGTAAAGAAAATCAATACAATGGGAAAGCCCCAAAATTATATGTACCATTCAATACCATTCAATCAATTTTTTACAGTGAAAGAGGAGACATACTTCACCTTCAGTCCCCTAGAGGCATAATGGGTTACTTCATTGATTGGAATTCTGAAATCTTTCAGATTTGTTTTTCTTTAGATTATTGTGCTTTAAATGTAAGTTACTCTCCTCTTTCTGCTTTTGTTTCTGTGTCTGTTCTTAAAAGTCTTCCCAAGTTTCTCTGAAATCTTCATATTTGTTTCTTTGTACTTGTTATTTCTTGCTGCATAGTAATTGCATTAATTCATATATCACAATTTATTCAGTCACTCATCAATGGACAAGCATTTATTTTTCTTTCAGTCCTTTTCTGCTACCCAAAAAAGGCCCTCCACCTCCCATATCACACTACATTAGTTATGATAATGGGTAGAAAAGCTTTTTACTTTGGTAGTGCTCATTTTATAATGAACATAGATACCTATCTTCTGTATATCCAATTTTCTTCATGAAAACTCATTCAATGAAAAATCTACCTGAAGGCTTATGAAATAACCCTATGAAAACCAAAAGAGAAGATTAAATCCTTTCTATGGGAAGTTAGGCTAATGTCACACATTCCAGGATGCTGTGGCAGAGGGAACATTCTCCCTCCCTGACTTCACATTCATGTATTAGTTTTTTCTTTTTGAAATTATTGATATCTTTTGTTTTTATATATATTCATTTCCCAATAAATTCCCCCCTCTTCCCATTCTCAGGCATCCATCATTGATAATGAAAAGAAAAAAATAGATCAGCAAGGCTAACTAATCCATCAACCAAATTGAATATTAATAGCTAATCTCTTCTTTGAGGCCAAACTTATGCATTATAATTTTGTATCATTTAGTTTTGATTTTTGGTTGGTGTTTCCATTTATTTTGCACAAGTAATTGTTTATATTGTTTTTCTGTTTCATCTTATATCATTTTCTAGCACTTGATGTTTGTCTTCTTGTGATTCTCTATTCTTCAAATTTATTGTTTCTTTCAATACATTCTATTACATTCTTGAGCCACAATTTGTTTAGCCATATGCCAATTGATGGACATCAGTTTTGTTTACAATACTTTGCTATTTATGCATTAGCTGTTTAGCAATGGCATATCAGTGAAAATAATTGGTTCATTTTCATGTGAATGTAACCAAAGGAGAGGTACATTGGCCTCTTGGAGTGGCAGGGCTTGAAATCATAAAAATTTTGGTTCAGTCCCATCTCTGACAGTTATAATGTGATGCTCAGCAAGTTCCTTAGCCACTAGGAGCCCCAGGCATATCTATTGTCACTTAGAGGGCAAAATGTATCTGCTCCATTGTGGAGTATGAGTATCTTGGCATGGGTTTCCACCTTAATCTGAACTTGTTTATACATTATAAATTATTTCTTTTGGAAAGTTAAGTTGCATGTGTCTATCTTAAGTAATTGATTTCTACTTTCCAATATTGGCAATTGTGTGTTGTTCCACAAAAGTCCATATTAAACTATATTTCTTCAGTTTTAAACATCCAAATATATTAAAGACAATGAAGAGAGAAATTGGCCTGAATGACTTGGGGGAGACAACCCATACAACTGAAATTCAAATCCTACCTCTGATTATTATTTGCATGACATTGGACAAACAATTCAATCTCACTTGGTCTCAGTTTCCTTATGTGTAAAATTAAGTGGCTAGAACAGATACTTCTGAGGTCTCTTTAGCTCTAGATCTATTATCTTATAACTGTTCCATATCTGAAGTTCTCTGATCATTTTCAGATGGGCTCATGATCAAGTCTCTCAAAGGCCATAGACTCAGATATTAAAAATATCATTTGATATCACTCATTTGAACAAGGTGTTAATACTCTTGGATTGGCACATCCCACAAGCTGCATAATTATTGAGATTTCTTCAGGGAAAGGAAAAAAGGAAATATTCATGTAAAATTATTTTTATTTCATTCCTTTTCTTTTGAAGGATGTTCAGCATCAAATCTATGGGACTTCAGGGAGAAAAGCATTACAAGCTTATGAAAAGTAGCACACCAGAATTACATTTCAACACCAAAGCCAAGTAAAGATCAATTATTGTCATTAATTTATAATATTACTGGGAATTCAGAAATCAGAGTACTATGCTTCCATCATAATTATAGGTCTTTGAAAATTTCATAACACAAAATAAAATGAAAAGGAGAAAAATACAGATGAGGAAGACATGAATTACCATTGAAGAGGAGTACAATTGTATTCAGCAAGAAAAAGATGAACTTTGGAAAGCATTTTCTAAGGTATGCTACAGGAAATGATACTGGAGGGAAAGAATTCCTTAGAAATCAAGACTATGATCAATACATTTGCTAAATTACTTGATCATAAGCATTAAAACTCTAAATTTATAGTGTTTTAAGGTTCACTAATTCCTAAAAACTAATGAGAGATTTGAGTAACCTGGGGAAAACCCAAATACAAAAGGAGAATAAAAAGATTATAGAATGAGGAGTAGCTATGTGGCGCCATGGATAAAGCTCCAGTCTTGGAGTCAGGAGGACTTGAGTTCAAATGTGGACTCAGACACTTGACACTCACTAGCTGTGTGACCTTGGACAAGTCAGTTAACCCCAATTGCCTTACTAAAAAAAATAAAAAAAGAATAAAGAAATCTTTTCAAGTTAGGATGCAGAGAAAAAAAGGAAACTGTGAAGGGAGAGAATGAATATTATAATAAAACAAGATATCAAAGAAATGTATTTTTTGCTATACAAAGAAAGAAAAACAATTGTGAGTGGTGGTGGTGGAATGATCCATTGAAATAGAGGTCAAAATATTAAGTGAAGCAAAAGCCATTTCTCAAGTGTGGGTTTTCAATAGAGTCCTTCCCACTTCCCTCAGCAGGTGGAAGGCTGGGAATAATGGGCTTCAGGAATTTGAATTCGCTGGTCCCTGAGCCACTGGTCAGGCAAATCTCATATTGGTATCTGTGAGACAAAGTCCCAGTTCCATTGACATCCACCAAGTGTCCTGGGAAGGGGCCATTTGAATTAAAATCACCACCATCAGAAGCATCTCTTTTCCTCTTCCATAGGTGAATGGCAATGAACAAAGTAACAGAGACCAGAAAGAGAAAGGAGATGGATGCCAATGAAATGACTAGGTAGGTGGTGAGGGAATCATTCTGGACCTGCTCCTTAGATGCATCTGGGAGTTGCAGGTAAGG